CTCAGGTGAGGCTCAGGTGGCCCTCTCTGGTCCCTCCTCAGGTGAGGCTCAGGTGGCCCTCTCTGGTCCCTCCTCAGGTGAGGCTCAGGTGGCCCTCTCTCTCTGGCCCCTCCTCAGGTGAGGCTCAGGTGGCCCTCTCTCTCTGGTCCCTCCTCAGGTGAGGCTCAGGTGGCCCTCTCTGGTCCCTCCTCAGGTGAGGCTCAGGTGGCCCTCTCTAGTCCCCCCTGTTCTGAGAAAGCGTCAATGGTCCACGAGCCAGCTGTGATGACCTTCTGCAAGCAGGCGTAGCTGTGTCGATGACCATGGTGGCTGTTTTGCCCTGAGGATCAATCATCCCTTATCTATTTTCCGGGTGGGTTGAAAGCATTGTGCTAATCACTGTAGATGTGAGTGTATGAGGAATATTTTCTCTTTAGAATTCTATTTCATGGGAAGAACAGCAATGGAGACTAATAATTATAAGACAATGACAAGATGCAGCTAATGGTCATATGACAGGGCGTGGAAGCCCAAAGAAAGAAGCAGTCATATAAGCAAAAATATGGCAGTTTCACACATTCTGGAAAGGACCAGGGTTGGCATAAGTGATTAAAAAATTAAAATCTTATCTAATGGAAATAGAATTCTAAAGAAATAGAAAAGGAAGAATAACAGGTAGGAGAGAAAAGAAATGGATCTAAATCAACTTGTCTGGAGCTGAGGAAAAGGTGCTCTAGTCTTTGGCTTCATTGTTGAAGTCCTTGTGTTTGATTTTCATGGGTTTCAGCCTTGAGCCTACCTAAATGTGAATTTCTATTTTGTATAACAGCAGCATTTTGTGAGAGTATGTATGACTGCTGGCTCTCTCTCTCTCTCTCTCTCTCTCTCTCTCTCTCTCTCTCTCTCATACACACACACACACAGAGAGAAAAAGAGAGAGAGAGAGAGAGAGAGAGAGAGAGAGAGAGAGAGAGTTGGCTTAAGTATACAGATACATAGATAAATGTAGATTACGGAAAGATAGCTTCTTGCTTTTGGAAATCCTATTTATAATGCTAATTCTTAACTTTTGCAATAAAACGTCATCTTCCAAGCAATCTCCTAATAGTAAGATCAAATCTGAGTACTTAGCAAAATTAAGATGTTAATACAAATAAATCCTCAGTGTACTCTCAAGACACGCCATAATAACGTTCAACTGAAGACTTGAAGAGAGAACAGCGGCATTTCCATTGGCTGAAGTAGCAAATGCGGGAAAGTGCCTGCTGGAAACCAAATTTAAACGTCTTCTGGCTTTATTGCAAGCACACAGCCTTGGGAACGTAAAATTCACATCAATTTGGGCAAAACTTATTATTCCTCTCTGAAGCAATTGTTGGTGCTAACTGGTTTGTCCAAGCCTCCTCTTCATCACCTCCGACTTTAGCACTTCCTTGTGCCCTGAGACCATAGGCTGCCTGAAATCTCTGTACAAGACCCTGATGTCCTCTCTGGGCTCGCTCCCCACTCACAGGAGCAATTGTGCATTCTAGGATGGCAATTAAACACAATGACCTGCTCTAGGTACTGGGACCACGCTTACCCAGGACCCCTTCTCCCTGACTGTATACAAGACTTGTCCTGGTGGGCATTTATTATACACACCATGCCCTGACAAAATCAAAAGACGTATTCATGATGTCATCATGATCTATCAGCCTACAATGCCATCAAAATCCTAAGTGTGCCTCTATAATATACTTCAGGCACACAGAACGCTCACTCTCCATGTTGGAGATTCACGTATATGCTCACGGGGACTCCTCTATGTGATGAAGCACCCGACTAAGGCAGTTTAAGGAGGAAGGGTGTTGGCTCACGGTTCCAGAGGGACACAGCCCACCCTGGCAGGAGTCAGTAGGAGTGAAAACCTGGCTGGTCACATTTCATTCACCCTCGGAAAGCAAAGAGCAAACAAGAAACAGGGTCAGTTTAATGCCCGGCCCATTTCTGTCCCGGTTGCAACTCCTAAAGGCTCCATAACCCTCCCAAACAGAACCACCATCTGGGGACCATGTATTTAAACACCTTGGCCTACGGGGGACATTTCTCATTCAAACCACAATAAATATGGATATTTGCCTAGAATTTCTTCTCTGCACACACATACCCCTCTGTTGATTCTGTTTAAATCCCATCCTGGTTTTGATGAGTTTCTCTTAGATCAGTGTTAAGTGTAGCATCACATTCATTCCTCACCAACATTTCCAGCTGACACTTGAGACACTGGTGGTGCAGCTGGCTGCCCTGCTCTAGTGAGTGTGGAGGTTCTGACCTTTGGTCTGAGACCTTTGTTATAATATGTAGACTTTGCTACAGATTTCAGTCAACATGCTTTATTCATTTTACATATAAATACTGCTCCCCACAAAAGGAGATTTTTAAAGAGAAAAAGAAAGAGCTAGGAAGGCAGGTCAGTAAAAGATCCGTTTCCCAGAATATACAAAGTCCCAAGTTTGATCCCCAGCACCACAATGAAATATCAAATAAGACAAAAGTCTTCATTAAGTAGGTTGAGGAATGACCGAGTCCCAAAGACTATGACTCATAAATACTAACGAGAAAATCAGGGAACGACTTCAAGTCAAAAGGCGAGTAAAGTACTTGACCTTCATCAGGAGCTAACAGAAGCAGTCATTAGGGGGAAGTCATTTTTTCTCTTGTTTAAGCAGATGCTACAATGAAAATAAAAGATTTGTTCACGATGGTGAAAGTTATGCCGTCTTTTATATTATTAAATACTGAAGAAGAGGGGTGAGCACTGAATATACAAGGCCGAGACAGATGTCCAGTTACAGTCATGTCCTGAGTCCAGAGCTCTGACTGCGTGCTGGCTTTGCCATGGAAGGAAGTCTTTTTCTCAAGGTTAAATGGGATAGTGCTGTGCTGTGTTTTTAGGCCTCATAAGCTGATCTAAACTATAATAATCTCTTAGACATTGGTAACACACTTTTATTAATAAGTTATTTATTTGTATTTTATATGCATTGGTATTTTGCTTACATTTATATCTCTGTGTATGTGTTGGATCCCCTGGAACGGGGGTTACAGATGGTTGTGAACTGCCATACGGGTGCTAAGACTCAAACACGGGGTCCTTTAGGAGAACAGCCAGTTGCTCTTAACTGCTGAGACATCTCTTCAGCCCAGTAACCCACGGCCAAAGTGTGTGAGTACTAATGAAAACTGGCATTCACTGAGCACATACATAGGACTCATCGTGCGCTGTTACAATCATCATTGCTTCAGCCTATGAGACAATGATTACGATCCTTCCCTGATGAGCAAGTCATTTTAAAACACTAAAATAATCGTCTCTGAGCATGCTAACAATATTCATCTACTCTTAAAAACGGCCCTGTGAATTGTTCATTCAACTTAGAGTCAACAGCATCCACACACGGTAGACATAGTTTTTGTCCCAGGGTCCCCTACGATACATGGCCAGGATGAGAAGCAAATCATTGACACCCACACAGCACAAGGACTCTGCGGTCTTCAAGAGCACGCATGGATCACCCACACTCATGTACTCTTTTTTTTAAGAGGCTTGCTAGACAAACTTTTAGATCTTATTTTTAATAACACTGTGCATCATTTTAATAAGCTCAGCCAGAAACCAAAGCTGCTCTCAGTTTTAGGCCATACATTAAGTTCTTTACACTTTCATTCCTATATAAGCCAGAGTTTCCATAGCACGGGACAGGTTTCCGTTCAGGAACGGCATTGACCCCTAGAGAAAGCTACGTTCACTTTCTTACCATCTGAGTGGTGTCTCAAAACTCAAAGACCAAGTAGGACGAGGGTAATGATGGGCAGGTATGGTCCGTGCCTGCAAGGGATTTAGCATCTAATCCTGGAGAGAGAAACAGTTTGAACTGGGAAAATGTTGGAGCCATATGTTCTCTCCTAAAAAAAAAAACAGCTTTTGAAGCATGGGGCATCTCTAAGGAGCACACATGAGCATGAGAAAGGTGGCTAAAACAAGAACCTGACAGCAAAATTCAAAAAGAGGAGATTCTGGTTTCAGCACTAACAGCTGGGGGGGTGGGCGGCAACAGTGAGTGGTTTCAGGAGGGTACAGCCCACCAGGGGACATTCCTTCAGTTGCTGCTTGTCTATTCCCAGGAGCCACTGCAGTGAGCCCCTGTTGGAGGAGGGAAAACATCCTCATGCTGTCATGGGGTAGCAGGCAGGAAAGGCAGAGCCATTCCAGACGTTTGGGGGTCTCTCCAAGTGACACCAGGGTGCATACTCACGGGTTCCACTTGTCCTCAGGTAACACTCAACTAAGACAAATATTTAACACAAAGGTTCGGAGCGAGAGAGGCTTAACTGGAGTGGGTGATTACCTGAGTCACTCATTAAGGTATGAGGCTGTCTCTTCAGAAGGCCTGAACTGAATCACCGCACACTTGAGTCGCTTAGAAAGGAGTCTGCGATAAAAACAAGTATGGAAATGGTTATCAAACGCCAGTGAGTGTCACTCGAGAAACGACGTCTTAGGAAGACATCCGTCACCTCCTCTGATGTGCCTATGCCTCCTAAAGCCCAGAGAACTCACAAAGAAAACACTGGGCATCGCCTGTCTTTTCAGGAGCAGCTTCTTTATATTGTGGAGCTGATACGTCAGTGCCAGGCCACAGAGCCCATCCCAGCCCTCTCAGGTCTCACACATGAGTGCGCCCCCAACCTTTGCATTTCCCTGCCTTCCACCCCCACACACACTTTGTCTGGTACTGTCACGAATTTTAAGTCATGCTTGCATGCTGATTAACACATTCACTGGAGTGGACGGCATTTGCTTTTGATTTTACTAATTTTTTTTTTTTTGGTGCTTGTGTTTCCTTCAAATCTATGAGGAAGGTTTTTTCTATTTTAATTGTCATATACTAATTATATAAAATGTGAGTTTATGATTTTTACTTGCATGTAGGTTGTGGAACCAGTGCTGACATTTTGGCTCTTTTACCGTTCAGCACTTTTTTTTTTTGTATATATCTTTTAGCTTTCTATTTTGACATAATTTCTGAAAAGCTACAAAAGAAGCACGGTTTCCACCTGATACTCTTTGCCAGTTCTCACCACCAACATTCTAGCACCTTCCATAACACAGGGTTGCTATCCAGAGTGCCTGTGCGTGTTCTTAGAGAGCTACAAGCTGTCTTATCAGCTGCCTTCCACACTTAGCACGACAGCATCAACAATTTTACCATTTTAAATTGTTCAGAACAGTGGGAGTCAGCACACTGCTCTTGCAGAAGACCCAAGTGCAGTTCCAAGCACCAAATGTGGCCGCTCACAGCCTTCTATAACACCTACTCAGGATCTATTGCCCTCTTCTGGCTTCCACAGGCACTACGCCCTCAAGCACATCATAGAGACACACAAATATACACATAATTACAAGTAAAATAAGTTCAGTGCACACGGTACTTACCCATTCCCATGCTATTGGATACTAAGACGATCGCAAGGGTTTTGTTGTTGTTGTCAAAACATCCATTCATAACCTTTATGAAACCTGGTTTCATAGCCCAGAAACGACCTCGCATTTAAATTACTGCTTTACTTGCTGTTGAAGGTGAATGCTGTCGTGCTTAAACACGGTTTTTACTCCATTTTCTGTGGGCTTATTCGAACATGGTACATACAAGCTTGTATAAACAAACCATGCACAGCCAGACTACTGGGCTTTAAAGTCAAAGCGATAATTGGTGTTTGATATTTGCCTTGGACTGTTTTGCTAGCATTTTATTAATACAAACCAATTATGGCAATTAAAAACTAAAATATCTCTTCTTTAGTAGTAATTCATAACTCGTAAGATGTCTCTGTGGAAAATATCACTCCGCTCCTTCACTCGCCGCTCTGAAATTGAGATTTCAAACAGGAAGCTCTCAAAGATGTGGCTCACAGGAATTCTAGGAAATCCTGTTCTTTAAAGGGGGCTGTCTTGTTTGCATGTGGCACAAGGGCTCATGAGATGCTTCGTGAACAAAAACACTTCACATCACACATCTCATCCCTACATTCAATCCCTGCCACCCACAGCAGGAAGAACTGACTGTTGAAACTCGACCTTTGACCTCTACACAGGTGCCACGGCACACGTGTTCATACACTCACACACATACCCAAGGATAATAAATAAATAAAATATTAAAGATTGTTGTGGGAGTAACTTCCGCTGCCTCAACCAATAATCACTGAAGCAGGAGCCCACAGTGCAGCGGGGAGCGACTTCCGCTCAGTCAGCCAATAGCTGCTGAAATACCAGCCCACTGGGGCGTGGTATATTTCTCTTTTAAAAAGAGAAGCAGTTCCGGATAAGGTCTCTCTTGGTTCCGGCTCTTGGTTCCGGTGCTCGGTCTCGGCTGCTGCTCCCGGCTCCTGCTCCAGCGACTAGGCTCCCTTCCTGACGGTTTATGGTGTATGTAAGTTTTACCCCCTGCCAAATAAATAACCCCTTAAAACATAACTGGTGTGGGATTGATTCGTTAATAATTGGCGCCCAGCGTTTAGTTTAAGAACCGCCCCACCCCCCCACCCCCAGCTCGGCCTCCCAGGATACACAGGTCCGGACAGTCTCTGCCGGCTTACTTTGCCCTGTTCGGCACGGATTTTTAAATTTCTCCTTGCAACGTGAGTCAAAGAGCTCACAGCGCAAGCTCCCTTTGAAGTTCCAGCAAGCTGTTTGAAACCCATAACTGATTAGGAGTGCTGAAAGCAGCTTGACCCTTAATCCCAGCACAGGGACACGGGGCCCAAAGCACTAGGCCTCTTTAGCAACAGCGCAGTGGCTGTGTCACGACCCTCTGCATCCGGTTGAACAGAGCAGCAGGGCCTTGTTTGTTGCCTTGTTTATTGGCCACTAGAAGCTCTCTGACCTTTTGTGATCTGTGGATTTAACCTCTGGATTTGAGTGTATATATTCTAGAGTTTACTTCCTCAATCAACACCACTGCCACGTGGATTCAGGTGCGCCCCACCTCCTACTGGCAGGCAACGGTCATTACAGGTAAGATTTTTCTTTTCGGTTGAAAATAAATACATACATACATACATACAAGTACAATTTCCTTTGATTGAAAATGTCGGAAAATATTACTATCCAAAAGTTCAATGGTTTTTTCAGTTGCGCTATGGAGGATATTCTGAAGGATGTCTCAGATATTCCTCTTACTTTGTTATTCCTGGGATCTGTTGCTTTTCTGGTGTTTGGCTATTTTATAAGAAAGATACAGTCCTTACAGACTGAATCTACAATGCTGAGGGCAGAGATTAAAACCTTAAGAACAATTCAGACTGATACCAACCTCCTCAAAAAAGAGTTTGGAGATTTCAAGGAGGAAACTAGATCAGAGTTTGGAGTTTTCAAGCAGGAGACTAGATCAGAGTTTGGAGTTCTCAAGGAGGAGAATAGATCTTTGTTTGATATGACTCGGTCAACTGGCCAAAATATCAAGAAGGTACAGTCTGATATTGCTTCTTTAGAAGGGAGCGTCACTGCCCTGGAGGAGGGGACAACCAAAATGACGCATAACCTCCAGTCCATGACTGTAAGTGCTGAAACATTAGCTGAGAGGATTATAACCATTGAATGTGAAAATCGGACTTTATCAAAAGGGTATGATAGATTAATTGACAGGATTTCCATACAAGAAGGCACAGTACATGCCATGAGGATTATGTCCAAGGAGGATATCGTGTCTCTGACGGACAAGCTCCATGCCTTAGAATCGTTAATGAAGGCTTTGGAGCATAATACTGGACAGGAGATTCAGGACTTACAGAAGGCAATGGTGAGCAGATTTAATAAGATTGAGGAAATCATAGACTCTGATGAACAGGAGCAAAAGGTAGAAAGGCAACCTTCACCTCAAAAAACTCTCAGTCTACATAGAGTTATACCTGCCTTTCCAGTAATAACATCAGAAAAGATAACTGGCTCCAAAAACCCTAAGGTCGTTAAAGAACATACATGGGAGCCTATACGTATGAATGATCTGAAAGAATTTAAACAAGCAATTGTGAATTATGGACTACATTCATCCTTTGTTAGGGAGATGTTAAAATCCTGGGCTCTGAGCAACAGGGCCACCCCTAAAGAAAGGAACCAGCTCACATCAGCTGTCCTTGAGAATGGACCTTTATGGCATTTCAAATGCCTATTCAAACAAGAGGCCAGACTTTTACAACAACAAGAATCAGCGAAAGGAATTGAGGTTTCTCTAGATCAAATTCTAGGGGAAGGACCTTACTCTGATCCTCAGGAACAAGCTCTTTATGATGAAAACATTTTATCCATATGTGCTACAGCAGCTCTAAGGGCCTGGGACAGGGTTCAAGACTCAGGTCAGAGAGTAGAATCGTATGTCAGGGTCAAACAGGGTCAGAGAGAACCCTTTAGTGACTTTTTGCAACGACTAACTAAGGCTGTACAAATAGGGATACCTGATCCAGAAGCAAGAAATATAGTAATTGAGTCTTTGGCTTATGAGAATGCCAATGTAGAATGCAAAAGGATCCTGGGGCCTTTAAAGCTCAGATCAGCGCCTTTGGACGAATGGGTTTTACATACAATGAATGTTGATACATTTGATTATGGCAATGAAACATGGGTACAAGAAGCAATTTCCAAAGGTAAAAGGAGACATCAGATTACAAAATGCTTTCATTGTGGCAAAATGGGACACATGAAAAGGGACTGCAGACAATGGAAGTCCAGGAATAATGCCTCTTCTAGGAATAACAGGAATAGGAGGACTCAGCCTTCAGGTTTATGTAGGAGATGTGGAAAGGGCAGGCATTGGACGAATGAGTGTAGGTCAACAAGAGATAAACAGGGCAACCCGTTGCCATCGGGAAACTCAATAGGGGGCCTCTCGAAGGCCCCCATGGCAAATGTGGTCCAGTCATTTCCGATCACTGCAGAGAACATGCCTCTTCAGGGAAATTAGAATGCCCCATGCCTGCTGTTAAAAGCAATAACGGCCTGAAGGATGAGTTAAATGTGGTGAATGAATCAAGAAATCTAAGAGGACAAAGTAAACGTTTATTCTGGCAGACTTCTATAAATGAACAAAGACCACAGCTAAGAGTGTGTGTAAATGGCAAACTTATTACTGGCTTACTGGACACAGGTGCGGATGTAAGTATCATTACACCAGAGTCTTGGCATCTGCATTGGCCTCTTCAGGAGGTAGATATTCAGTTCTTAGGAATTGGAACCCTATCTCGAGTAAGACAAAGCACGAGATGGGTCAATTGTATAGGTCCAGACGGACAAATAGGAAAACTAAGGCCATATGTAGCAAATATTGCAGTGAATTTATGGGGCCGTGACCTATTGCAGCAATGGAATACCCAAATTAACATTCCTGCTGCTTCCAGAGCCCATATTTCTGAGGACAATATTACAAGATATTACAGA